AATTTTCCACAGTTTGTGGTTATCCACACAGTCAGAGGCTTTGGCACAGTCAATGAAGCAAAAATAGCCATTTTTGTGGAACTCTTGCTTTTTTGATGATCCAACAGATGTTGGCAATTTGATCTCTGGTTTCTCTGCCTTTTCTAAATCCAGTTTGAACATCTGGAAGTTCACAGTTCACATACTGTTGAAGCCTGGCTTGGAGAATTTTGAGCATTACTTTACTAATGTGTAAGATGAGTGCAATTGTGTGGTAATTTAAGCATTCTTTGGCATTGCCTTTCTTTGGGATTGGAATGAAAACTGACCTTTTCCAGTCCTGTGGTCACTGCTGAGTTTTCCAGATTTGCCAAGAACAGTTAGTTGCCACTGATTTAAGAAGATTCAAATACGTCCTTGTAGCCTATCTTATATCCAATATAATTTAATTTTAAAATCCAGTAAACATCCTTTAAAAGCACAGTGTAAAGGAAAGAGTACCTGACAAAAGGTCAAAGGATATCAGAAACACTATCACAGAAGGCTGAAATACTATCACAAATCTACCAGAGATTAGCTGTGTAGCCATGAATCAAAGCTAACTTTTCTTATAGTTATTGCGTCATCTGTAGTACTGGATAGCATCTAAACAAAAGAGGCTCCCTAATACTTTACAGAAGTCACTGTTACCAAGTGCACATCTATTCTAAAATGCTGAAACTTATGCAATTATATAAAAACTCAAGAGTAGAAATATCTGGTGTCCATCCCAAGGCATACCAGATGTGTCTCTTACAAGCCAATACAATTTGGCTGCACCCTTGAAAGTTTGAAAAATACAAAAATTAAAGTGAAAATAACTTCCACCTCTGTTGACTGGAACTGCATGACTCACTGACAGGGCAGTGACCGGGCTGGGTGCACCCCAGGATACTGGCTGACATCCCTGAGGTCTCAACTGACGTACAAGCCAGATGACCTTTCAGCACTGAGATAAGGAAGAAGCAGTTTGTTTTTATATAGTCAATGTATCCACTGCCACATATTCATTCAAGCAAATTCATCAGTTGCAAAGATGCCGGAGAACCCAAAGAAGTGCCTTATTTGGGTTTAGAAGTCACAACAGAAGCTAAGATTATCTTTCATGTGTTGGGGCTTCTTAGAGATTCTGTTTTCTTCATTGAATGCATTTCCCCACAGCTCATCTGTGGTTCGAGCATCTTGCCACCAGCTTTCCAATGCTCGGGAAACATTCATTCGCAGGATCAAAGCCAGTTAGGCCAAAGGTCTGGTCCTTGGCTCTGTTTCCATGAGTACTCTAAAATTTCCTCCAGAAGTAGAGAAAGGAAAGTTTTCAGTCTTCATGTTGTAGCCAGAGTCACAGTTCCCAGGAAAGCCAATTAGACTGAAAAATCAGGATCCATAAATAAATGAAAAAAAAAAAAGAAATACTGTAGTGCCAACTGATGTTGTGACCTAACAAATTTTTAATAGAAAAAAAAATTTACAGGAGCAGGCCTCACAAAACACATAAATAAAGTTTTACAAAAATATCTTTCCACTTAGGTGCTAACAACCATAATCTATCTAAAACAATTAGAGATAAACATTCATACCTGCAGCACCAACAACTCACACCGTAAACCTGACAGCAGGTCTCTGTGAATAATCGAGGTGCTGAATATACAGAGTTCAACTTATTCATTCTAATCTACTTCAAACAATGAGGATTGGGTCATCGGAACAAAAACTGTGATGCTTTCATTCATTATGCCTTAAAAAAAAAAAGTCAGGCTTTTTGGTACTATGGCTGGAAGAAAAGACAAAATGTCAGTATACACGAAAATCTTTTAGGGCCGACAGTTATTCACCATCCTTACTAGAGTCATCTTTTCTGTGAATAATTTTATAGAGTCGAGAAGGTACTCCTTCTTTAAAAATAAATCTTCAAAAACTACTTCTGGCATACAAACTACAAAAACACTTGTATTAAGTGATAAAATTATTTATTTTTGTGTGATAAAACTAGAATTTGAATCATGACTCCACCATGACTTAGGAGAATTTTCTGAGAGTTTGCTGGGAGAATTCAATGATTCAATGAAATATATATATTCATTTCATATATATCATATATACACATATATTAATATAATTAACTGTCATATTGTAGACAAAAGGCAATTGATCATCTCCCACTTTAAGCACTTAGTTTAATATAAAAGACTGAAATATACACTGGTTAGGAGCATGCAGTCTGGTACCACAAATCTGGTGTCTACTTGGGTGTTTTGATTTTGTGTCACTTTTCCACGGTTTTGTCTTCTGTAAAAATGGGTTAATAATAGTATATACTGCATAGGATTGTTAGGAGAGTAGATTGAATTAATCTGTACTGAGGAGAAAGGGTCTAGGAAATCAGTCAATATGAAATTAAGTGAGGAAGCTGCATGGAGTTCCAGCTCTTAAGTAAAGACAGACAATGCCTTCAGTCCACACGGTTGAGACATAAAGACAAGATGAGACTGGAACCTCCAGGCTAATCACAGACCAGTTAAAGCAGGCCAGAGCTTAGCCTCAGAGGAAAGAACATGAGCAGGGCACCGTCAGTCAGAAGATGACATAGCATCACTCAAGGGCTAACAATACCTGAGGAAGCCACTTAGGTCTCAGTACCTCAGCAGTAGGACCTGATGAGGCCACCAACACCACACAGACTAGGCCCTTAGGCAATAATTTAGACCTGTTATGATGACAAAGTGAAGGAGGAAACAATGTCTTCTCAGTTCAATTTACTTCAGTCGCTCAGTCGTGTCCAACTCTGCAACCCCATGGACTGCAGCACTCCAGGCCTCCCTGTCCATCACCAACTCCCAGAGTTTACTCAAGCTCATGGCCATTGAGTCAGTGATACCATTCAACCATCTCATCCTCTGTCGTCCCCTTCTCTTCCTGCCTTCAATCTTTCCCAGCATCAGGATCTTTTCAAATGAGTCAGTTCTTCGCACCAGGTGGCCAAAGTATTGGAGTTTCAGCTTCAGCATCAATACTTCCAATGAATACTCAGGACTGATTTCCTTTAGGATGAACTGGTTGGATCTCCTTGCAGTCCACAGGACTCTCAAGAGTCTTCTCCAACACCACAGTTCAAAAGCATCAATTCTTTGGCGCTCAGCTTTCTTTATAGTACAACTCTCATATCCATACATGACTACTGGAAAAACCATAGCCTTGACTAGATGGACCTTTGTTGATAAAGTAATGTCTCTGTTTTTTAGTATGCTGTCTAGGTTGGTCATAAGTTTTCTTCCAAGGAGTAAGTGTCTTTGAATTTCATGGCTGCAATCACCATCTGCAGTGATTTTGGAGTCCAGAAAAATAAAGTCCGTCACTGTTTCCACTGTTTCCCCATCTATTTGCCATGAAGTGATGGGACCAGTTGCCATGGTCTTAGTTTTCTGAATATTGAGTTTAAGCCAACTTTTTCACTCTCTTCTTTCATTTTCATAGAGAGGCTCTTTAGTTCTTCTTCATTTTCTGCCATAAGGGTGGTATCATCTACATATCTGAGGTTATTGATATTTCTCCCGGCAATCTTGATTCCAGCTTGTGCTTCATCCAGCCCAGCATTTCTCATGATGTACTCTGCATATAAGTTAAATAAGCAGGGTGACAATATACAGCCTTGATGTACTCCTTTCCTGATTTGGAACCAGTCTGTTGTTCCATGTCCAGTTCTAACTGTTGCTTCCTGACCTGCATAGAAATTTCTCAGGAGGCAGGTCAGGTGGTCTGGTATTCCCATTTCTTGAAGAATTTTCTAGTTTGTGGTGATCCACACAGTCAAAGGCTTTGGCATAGTCAATAAAGCAGAAATAGATGTTTTTCTGGAACTTTCTTGCTTTTTTGATGATCCAACAGATGTTGGCAATTTGATCTCTAGTTCTTCTGCCTTTTCTAAATCCAGCTTGAACATCTGGAAGTTCACAGTTCACATACTGTTGAAGCATGGCTTGGAGAATTTTGAGCATTACTTTACTAGCATGTATGATGAATGCAATTGTGTGGTAATTTGAGCATTCTTTGGCATTGCTTTCCTTTGGGATTGGAATGAAAACTGACCTTTGCCAGTCCTGTGGCCACTGCTCAGGCAGTTCTATAAGGAGATAGACATACGTTTTTCTTTCCTTCCTCTGGCTCCAATACAGTGGGCATAAATCTGAAAAAACTTAATGAATAAAGTATCATCTCCACCCGTATAGACCTCACAATTAGTTGTTTCAACAAACATGGAAACAAAGAAATACTGTACAATTAACTTGAGAATCTCATAAGAGGTATTGCTTGGGTTCGGTCCTGAAGTGAGGGGGAAAAAGTGAGTGTTAGTCACTCAGTCCTGTTCTCTGTGACACTCGGTCATACTCTAAGTGACTCCATGGACTGTAACCCACCAGGCTCCTCTGTCCATGCAATTCCACAGGCAAGAATATTGGAGCGGGCAGCCACTTCTTTCTTCAGGGGATCTCCCCCACCCAGGAATGGAGCCTGGGTCTCTTGCACTGCAGGCAGACTCTTTACCATCTGAGCCACAGGGAAGCCCTGAAGGACAGGTATGAATTTTTCCAAAGCAGACAAGGGAGACAGAGGAATCTCGAGGTTTAGATCTTATGTGAATATCATGAAGAAATTCTCAGCGGCATGGAAGGGCATGGCATGTTCCAAAAGAGCATTTAATTTGAATTGGGGTTGCCAGGGAAGGAACGGATGAGGAAGAAGCAAGGAAGAAGCTAGCAAGAAGAGCTCTAGGATAAAAGGCTAGCTTCACATTAGATATTGAATGACCTTCCCTTTACATTAAGATAAAGAGGAGGAGATTTATTCCATAGGAAATACGGAACCAGCAAGAGGTTGAATACAGGATAGTATGATATAGTCAGATTTACGTTTTGATCTGGATCACCAATGGCAACATGGAAAATACACTGGGAGGGAGGCGCTGAGGTACAGACAGACGTTCGGTAATGTGGACCACCAGAACCACATCCGTATCAGGTACAGTTATCAAAAATGAAAGACAATAAAAATGACGAGGATTCATGAGTCCCGAATAAAAAAAATATCTCCCTTATTTTTAAAGAGTGAAGTCACTCTGTCGTGTCCGACTCTTTGTGATCCTATGGAAGGTAGCCCACCAGGCTCCTCCCTCCATGGGATTTGCCAGGCAAGAATACTGGAGTGGGTTGCCATTTCCTACTCCAGGGGATCCTCCCAACCCAGGGTTCGAACCTAGGTCTCCCTCATTGCAGGCAGACTCTTTACCATCTGAGCTACCAGGGAATCCCTATTTGTAAATAAGATATGCAAATGAATTGGTGGGTAATAACTGAAAGAGTAATACCTGATACAAGAAATTCAGTAAAGGAGACAAACACTATTCCAAGCTTGTAAGAGATGATATGCTTTACTAGACCGTAAATCTTGCTAGACAGTTAAGTGGTAGTCTACTCTGTAAAAACCTATGACTGATGTGCTACATAAATATATACATACAAACATTTGTATATCTTCCCTAGTGGCTTAGAAAGTAAAGAATCCACCTGCAATGCAGGAGACCCAGGTTTTATCTCTGGGTCAGGAAGATCCCCTGGAGAAGGGAATGGCTACCCACTCCAGTATTCTTGCCTGGAGAATTCCATGGACAGAGGAGCCTGGCAGGCTATAGTCCATGGGGTCACAAAAGTAGGACTTGACTGAACACACACACACACATGTACATACATAAATGGAGTGGGCCACATGAATACCCACAAAACAGCTGATACTGATAAGTAAATAGAATTATTTGTTAGAGGTTCAATTCCATATTGACCCTATTTTAGATCTCTATTTGACCCTTTTTTGTTTTCCAATTGGGAGAAGGAAAATACAGTAAATGAGCCATAATTTTTGGCAATGCATATTTAAAATAAGGTCTGCCAAGTTCAAAACTGAAAATGCAGCAGCTGTTTGTATAAAACATAGGCCAAGAAACTCCTGCATGACTGACATGCTTTTGCTTCCAGCCACACAGTCTCTGACTGGGCATTCATTTCAGCAACTGTTGACCAAACCTTGAGAAGACAGTTTTTCTCACTATAGAGGAAAAGAACCCTAAAAGAGAAGGATTAAGAGTTGATCACAAAAATGGGAGTGCTTCTAAGGAGGAAATCTGTATCTTCAAGCAGGAGGAAGTCTTCATGGATATGGAGGAACAACCGTTCTCGCAGTGTGGGTAGATTAGCTATGTAGTATCCCAAATATTTGGAGAATGTTTGTTTGCACAAGAGAGCTCCCAAGGCCAATTCATGGTGCCTGAGACTAAGAGATACTGTTCCTTGAAATGCATGGAATGTGCCTTCCTGAGGCTGGCCGTGCCCAAATCACTGTGATGGCAGTAGTGGAAGGGGCAGCAGCAAACACTGAGAAAGTATCTAAGGCAGCACCATCCTGCACATCAGCCTGCAGCTGTGATGGGATCAGGGCCAAAGGCATTTGTGGAAGCCGTCCGACAGGGGCAATAGCTATTGCCTGGCAAGAGGGCAGCCAGCAGATGGAGAAACAATGCCTAGGGCTCAAAATGTAAAGAAATCCCACAGTGACAGCTGCAGTTAACAGCACTGAAGACACAGCAACAATTCAGAGAGTGAAATCTTGGGGGGCGGGGGGCTGCAGCTAGGGGACAAGTAAATAACTCAGTTTCTGTGTTCAGCTTCAGAACAGAAAGAGGCAAGTCAGACAGATGGACATAAAATCATCACACTTAGTACTGATAAATCTGACTGCACAATGTGGCTTAAGATCTGCAGTTAAATGATATTGCTTAGACTTCATCCTATATTAGACATTCGGAGAAGGCAATGGCAACCCACTCCAGTACTCTCGCCTGGAAAATCCCATGGACGGAGGAGCCTGGTAGGCTGCAGTCCATGGGGTCGCTAAGAGTCGGACACGACTGAGCGACTTCACTTTCACTTTTCACTTTCATGCATTGGTGAAGGAAATGGCAACCCACTCTAGTATTCTTGCCTGGGGAATCTGAGGGACGGGGGAGCCTGGTGGGCTGCCATCTATGGGGTCACACAGAGTCGGACACGACTGAAGCGACTTAGCAGCAGCAGCAGCATATTAGACATTGGCACAGCTGGACAACAGCAAGCAAGAGGCAGGCATGGTAGAGAAAATACCAGAATTGTATAACCTGTGGACAAACAGGCTCTAAAAGGTAAGGAGTCTGGCTGGACACACTAGGAATTAAATGTTCCTAACATAAAGTTATCTAGTCTTTCATCCACAGGTAGCAATGCACAGAAAAAAAGACAGAGGCTCTTCCCCTAAACCCACAGTGACTTCCTCTAGAACAGTGAAGTTTTAATTTTCTATCCTTTGTGGAAAATATGAGGGGGAAATATTACTATTAACTATAATAATAATGGCAACTATTATTTTATTACACATTTGTTGTCTACTAGCATGATGCTTTGTGTATTATGTGATAAAACTGTCGTTACAACCTTATGGAGTAGGAAATGGCAACCCACTCCAGCATTCTTGCCTGGGAAATTCTAGGGACAGAGGAGTCTGGAGAGCTACAGTCCATGGGGTTGCAAGGAGTCGGACACACACGATTGTGCACTGACATGCACACATTCTATCTTATAGATAGCTGTTGTTTTTAAACCTCACTTTCACAGAGAAGTACTCAGAATCTTAGGATTGGTTTCCTGTCCAGTGTTACGTAGTTATGAGGAGCCAAAGTCTGGAGTTTGTGCTTCAACCTCTAATGCCTTCTGCCTCCTGCAGGTGAGGGCTGTGCACACCTCTGAACTCCAAGGAGAAAAGAGAAATTAAAGAAACTGGTAAGGAAGTGAGCTCAAGTCTCCCGTATTATCAGAGGGGCAGGGGAACTAACAAAATCTCTTGGCTTAGTTGTAATCTCCATCCTCCACCCAGATAGTTACTTCCACTGTTTCACTGTTAGAGAAACTCTTTTATATAAGCATCTTCTTTTCCCCACACGTTATTGAGGCATAATTAATCTACAAAAAACTGCATATATTTAACGTATATGATTTGATGAGTTTGAACATAAGCAAACACTTGTGACACCATCACAATAAAGGTAATAACCACAGCCATCACCTCCAAAAGTTTTCTTTTGTCCTTCTGCTTTTTTGTTTTGTATGTATGTGTGTGTGTGTGTATGTATGTATGTATGTATGTTTTGTTTTGTATGTATGTGTGCTTTGTAAGAGCATTTAATATGAGATTTACCCTGTTAAAACATTTTAAGTGTGCTTAATACGTTTTCTTTATCCATTTGGGCATTTATGTTGCTTCCATGTCTTGGCTATTGTGAATAATGCTGCAATGAACATGGCAGTGTAAATATCACTTCCAGATTCCAATTTCCATGATTTTGGCTGTATATGCAGAAGAAGGATTGCTGGATCATATAGTAGGCTACTTGTGATTTTTTTGAGAACCTTCTATACTATTTTCCATAGTGGCTGCCTTATTTTATATCCCCGTTCAGTTCAGTTCGGTTCAGTTCATTTCAGTCGCTCAGTCGTGTCCGACTCTTTGTGACCCCATGAATCGCAGCACGCCAGGCCTCCCTGTCCATCACCAACTCCCAGAGTTTACTCAAACTCATGCCCATCGAGTCAGTGATGCCATCCAGCCATCTCATCCTCTGTCGTCCCCTTCTATTCCTGCCCCCAATCCCTCCCAGCATCGGGGTCTTTTCCAGTGAGTCAACTCTTCACATGAGGTGGCCAAAGTATTGGAGTTCCAGCTTCAGCATCAGTCCTTCCAATGAACACCCAGGACTGATCTCCTTTAGGATGGACTGGTTGGATCTCCTTGCAGTCCAAGGGACTCTCAAGAGTCTTCTCCAACACCACAGTTCAAAAGCATCAATTCTTTGGTGCTCAGATTTCTTCACAGTCCAACTCTTACATCCATACATGTCTACTGGAAAAACCATAGCCTTGACCAAATGGACCTTTGTTGGCAAAGTAACATCTCTGATTTTTAATATGCTATCTAGGTTGGTCATAACTTTCCTTCCAAGGAGTAAGCATCTTTTAATTTCATGGCTGCAGTCACCATCCGCAGTGATTTTGGAGCCCCCAAAAATAAAGTCTGACACTGTTTCTACTGTCTCCCCATCTATTTCCCATGAGGTGAGGGACCAGATGCCATGATCTTAGTTTTCTGAATGCTGAGTTTTAAGACAACTTTTTCACTCTCCTCTTTCACTTTCATCAAGAGGCTTTTCAGTTCCTCTTTACTCTCTGCCATAAGGGTGGTGTCGTTAGTAGAGCACAAAGGTTCCAATTTCTCAACAACCTCACCAACACGTATTATCTTTTTTGTTATTGTTGTAATAGCCATTCTAGCAGGTGTGAGGTGATAGCTCATTATGTTGATAAACTCTTCAATGCAAAAATATAGATGTATTTCTCACAGAAGTCAAGGATTATTTAATCATATCATATGTATGGAACACATGCTGCGTGTTCAGTTGTGTCTGATTCTTTGTGACCCCATGGATTGTAGCCCACCATGGTTCCATATTACAAGCACAGATAAAGAAAAAAGTTCATAAATATTAATTTTGGTTGTGGCTTCACTTGTGGCTCAACTGGTAAAGAATCTGCCTGCAATGCAGGAGACCTGGGTTTAATCCCTGGGTTGGGAAGATCCCCAGGAGAAAGGAAAGGCTATCCACTCCAGTATTCTGTCCTGGAGAATTCCATGGACTACAGTCCTTGGGATTGCAAAAAGTCAGACACGACTAAGCAACTTTCACTTTTCACTTTCAGCATCACCATCCTTTTAGCTATATTTATAGCCTCTAAATATTGCTGGTGAGAAACATAGCAGTCTATTTACAAAAGCAAATTCTTTTATAAGTATAGAGCAGCATCACGCCAAATGTCCAAGATACTTAAACTGCCATCAATGTATAAAAAGCAAACCAAAATAAACTATTTGCATTAAAACTATCA